GCTTCGGAGAGAAAGGCCCTGTCGGCCGACGTCGCACTTGCACCGGCCCGCGCCTGCTGCCCCCGCCCCGCGCCGCCGCCCCAGGTCGTCGGCTTCCTCACGATGTTTGTCCGCTCGCCGATCCCCGTGAGTTTCGGCGGGTTTGGGCGGGTGGCTTCGTGGAGCTGTTCCGAGGTGCTTAGCAGCGCCATCTTTGTCTAGCTGCTTTGAGAGGGACGTCGTCCGCGCGGTGGATGCATTGAACTGGTTGGACGATTCGAGCTGTCGGATCGGTCGCGACCGTGACTCAGCCAGGGGTGCGATTCCAGCGTCATTGTCTGTCGCGCGTGACGGGGTCCGCGGTGGATTTCGGCGCCCTTCCGCGCGACCTCGCACCCGCGGATGCGCCTGCGGCAGCTTCGCCTTGCCGGGGGCGGCTGCTGCGTCGAGGAGTGGCCCTTCGGCTTCTACGACCCCGCGCTCGTCGTCTTTCCACGCGGGGAGGTGCCTCTAGTGCCTCTCGCCGACGGTCGCGGCGACGGTTGGCAGTCGGAGGTCGAGCATTTTGTTCGTCAGAGCCTGCTGCTGGCAGACGTTGCGAGCGCTCGGCTGGCCGCGTGCGCCGTCAAGACGCCCCGCTGCGACCCGCGCCTGAGGCGGCCCCGGGCCCTGGGAGTGGGAGGCCTTCGCGCGTCAATCTCATTCTCGCCATCCAGTGGATCTCTCGCTGGGCGACGGCGTCAGGGTCGACGTCTCCTTCGTCTCCGCGTGGTGGTGGACTGCAGGCGCAGCGACGCCGCCTTGGTCGAGCCCCTCTCCGCCACCCTCGCCGCGGGACCCGTTCCCCAGCCTCGAGCTGAACGATCCTGAGTGCGTCCTGAGCGTGGGAGGTGTCGACCTCTCGGGTGCGTCCTATCATGTCTCGTCGCCCGCGCGTGCCTCGAGTGCGAGCGCAGGCAGTGCGACGGCGGCGTCTTCCAGCATTGCCCCAGCTGGCCAGGGATGCGTCTCCCCTGGGCTGGGGACATGGGCAAGCCAGATAGGGTCATCTACTGGTTCGACCTCGGCGGCTGGGTCTTCGTCGGCTGCCTCGAGCTCGGCTGCTACTGGGAGTTCGGTGGCGTTGGGGCGCAAATCCTGGGGCCCCGATGGGGTGCCCAGGTTCACCGTCGCCCCCTGTCCGCCCCCCCTCTAGGGCACCCCTTCCGCAGGAGGCGGGGGCGCCAGTGCGCGGGGGGAACGGGCAGGGTGTTTGCTGGATGTAGGTCCCTGGGGGCGTCGCAGTTGCCAGAGCTGCCCGCCCTCTTCCCCGCGTCGCGCTTGGCGCGGGTTCGACAGTGCGTCGGTCAGGATCCGACATGAGGGGGCATGAACCTCCTGATCGTAATCTTCTTGCAGACGAATGTGACTCTGGTGTAGCTCAGGGCTCTGCTGATTTGCGCATCGCAGGCGCCGCTGTCAACAGTTGGTCGACGGCAGACGCTGTAGTGCATTGGGTCCCAGAGAGGGCTGAAGCTGGATAACCTGAAATTGTTTCGTGGGGCCTCGTTCAGAATGAGGTCCAGGTGGCCACCCTTCAGGAGACTCGGCTTAAGGCCCTTGACAATATTATATCGGCCCAAGGGATGGGCCCGCAGGAATGGGTATCATATGTCTCTAGGGAAAACTAACGGCGCTGGAGATGGGCCCCTTCAGAGTCCAGGATCGTCTCGAAGCCCTTGGAGCTTTCAGGAGTAGGCAAGTGTGACGGGATGATCGTCGGTCGGGTCGTCAACGCTGGGTTCGACGAGGGCCTGGAGATCTACAGTGTCTATTTGATCAACGACCTAGGCGTCGCAGGTGAGAACCTAGAGATTTTGGAAGTGTTGGGCGCGATCCTCCTTTGCAGCAGAAGGCCGTGGATCGTCCAAGGCGACTGGAACTTCACGCGCGCGGCCCTGTCTCTCAGGCTGGGTTCAGCACGTTCACGGCGCAGTTGCAGCGCCCGACCGGCCCGCTTGCTTTGCCTGCGCTCCTAGGACAGCCTCGCGGTGTAGCGATGGAGGAGGAGTTGACGGAGCATGATACTGGAGGTCGGAAGTTAGACTCCTTCGTGGTCTCGTCAGTCATCAGCTCTTGTGTGAAAGATATCTAGGTTGTCAAAGGAGCGCCTCTGGTTCCCCATTGTCCTGGGCTGCTTCGGATGGGGAACCTCTGCCAGACCGCAGTGGTCTCGCAGCAGACGCGTTTCAAGCCTCTCAACACCACGCTGATGGGCCCGTTGCCGCAGGAGCGGGATGTCCAATGGAGTGACCCTTTAGATGACGACCTGGACGCCTTGACTTTGGAATGGTTCAACGAGGCTGAGGCTCGGTTAGTTGAGATCCATGGAATAAGTGATCCAACAGGGCATGTAGGTGGCTCCGCTGGGCCCCAGACTCGCAAAGTCCCTCTCGCTTCCCTCTTGGAGAGGGATCACCGCCGTCGTTTTTCGAGGCGAACGGTCTGCTGGATCTCGTTCGAGGCCTTGTTCAGGAAGGCCAGAGCTATGAGCTAGGGGAACCTCGGGGCCAAAGGAAGAGCGCTGCTGGGGTCCTGGAAGCCCAAGTTGTTTGACATCCTCGACGATTGGGAGCTGATTGACGAGGGGGCCACCAAGCCCCAACTGCTGACTATGATCCTGGCTGCCTCTGGAACGGGCCCTTGGGAAACGGAGGTCCACGACGGCATCAGCAAAGAATATACTCGTCGCCAGCGGTTGGACTCGGCCTTGCAACTCGACTCCTGCCCTTCGGGCCCGCGCCCCTCTGCCTCGGCGGCAGCCCAGCCGACCCCGGAGCGGGCCGAGCCTGAGTCGACTAGACGTAAGAGTGACCTTTCGCCGGAGTGACCTTTGGTGCGGGTGCAGATGGGCCCCTAGATGGCTGAAAACGAAGCAGGAGCAGCGGCTTGCGCGCCCAGGTTTGGTCCCCCCGCGGCCCCCAAAGGCCGCGCACCAAAGGTCACTCTTACCCAGGGTCACTCTTGTGTGTAGCCGACTGAGGGTCAAGAGCACCTCCCGCCCTGGCGTGGGCCGAGCCCCCGCGCCGCCAGGTGGGCGCCCCCAGCGCCCCCGGAAGGGGCCCGGGCAGGCCTCGGACGAGGGGCAGGCGCGGCGCAGCCGAGCGCAGCTGCCCAGCCGGCGCCCAGGCAGTTTTTAATACATAGGATTTTAAAAGACATGGGATTCAACTACATGCTTATTGATGAAGACATTAATGCATAAACTCATCCTTGTATTTATGGATCAACCCTTGATTTTTAATACATGGTCCGCACGCGGAGCATGTATACAAAATAAAGGGTCGAGTAATACATGCAAGGATGAGTTTATGCATTAATGTATTCATACATTCAGCATGTATCAAAAATCCGATTTTTTTTTGTGTTTAAAAAACATCCTATGTATTAAAAACTGCCCTGTAGCTCCAGGGCCGATCGAGCTGGTTGTCGAAGACGCCGTGCTCGCTGGAGCCGGGGAGCTGCGGCAGCTTGGGCGCATTTGCGCCTGGCGGCCTCCTGGGCCTCGCCTGGGGCGGCGGCCCTGAGCTCTTCTCCAGCTTTGCGAAGCTCCTCGGCCCGCTGCTCAAGGTCACCTGCTCCCAGCAGCTCCATGTCGATGTCGTCGCCGTCGCCGTCGCTGGCGGCCACGTGCTCGCCGCTCCCTTTGAGGAAGAAGCAGTAGCGTCAGCAGCAGCTGCAGCATCGTCAGCAGCGCACTTCGCCTCCTCGGCAGCACGCTGCAACTGCTGAAGCTTCTCCAGCGCTGCCTTCCCTTCCGTGGACTCGACGACGGACGAGGCGAGACCTACTGACCTCGCCTTGAACGGGTTGTCGAACTCGCTGGCGTGGGCCTTGCACAGCAGCTCCTGAGCGTGCACCAGGTCCCCGCGGCCCTTGGCCAGGGGCTCGTCGACCGTCGCCAGCTCCTCGTCCAGGGATTCGTGCTGCCGCTCGATCTCGCTGATCCTCGCCTCCAGCTTGGGCGAGCTTGGTCTTCAGATCCTGGACCCGCCAGCGCGCAGACTGCGCTGTGGGGGCCGTCTTCTTCCCTGCCTCCGTAGTCTCTTCTTCTCCGCCTCCTCGACTGCCACGATGGCCGAGCTGTCGACCCCGAGCTTCTCGAGGTAGGCGAGCACCTCCTGCCCAGACGTGGATGGTGTGCTCGCGCTGCCCTTGCCTCCGCCGCCTCCAGCAGTCCACGGCGGCGCAGTCAGGGGCCCCTGACTCGGGCCGAGAGCCTCCAGTGAGCTTCGCGACCTGCTGCTGCAAGTCTTGGAGCGGCTTGAGCAACTTCGAGTTGGCACTCCCTTGCGGACCGTTCGCCCATTGCCCGAGGGCCTGCTTGGGTCCTGGACCTGACGGCCGCGACACGGACTTGACCCTTGACGCAGCCTGGCGTGCCGCGGGGATGTGCTTCTGCGCGGCTGGGCGACCACACAGGCGGCATGCAACCCTCGACGCCCAATTGCATGCGCAGCCGCAGAAGCAGCCCGAGTGGGGCGTACGCGGCCCCAGCAACACTTGGCCATCGGGAGGTGCCATCCACCGCGGGAGGCCCCGCCGCACCGATGAGTTGGCCTTCCAGGCCTCGTGAAAGAAACAATCGATTGGCCCGCAAGCGCGAGCCGCTCTGAAGTACGCGCTTGCAAGCCCAGGCCACAGCTGCCTGAGCCAGAACGGCTAGGGGGAGGAGGAGGAGGAGGAGGAGGAGGAGGAGGAGGAGGAGGAGGAGGAGGAGGAGGAGGAGGAGGAGGAGGCGGAGGCGGAGGATGAGGAGGAGGAGGAGGAGGAGGAGGAGGAGGAGGGGGAGGAGGAGGAAGAGGAGGAAGAAGCAATCGCGTTCGAAGCAGGCGCATCGTGATTTGGCACATCTGGACCTACAACAGTATGGGGGAGATGGACAGGGGTATAGAGTTGGAGCGAGGGGGGGAAGCAGCGAACGAAGGAAGGGGAGGGATGCACAGTCAGGCCAGGAGGCTGGCCTGGGGCGCTTTGGCCGGAGGCTCTTTTGCCACGGGCCGCCCCCGCACCGTCTGTGCAGCGCGGCCGCATGGCGGCCCTGAGTGCTGGGCCGTGCCCCGCCGCGTGGCTCTCCCGCTGCCCCGCCCGCCGCCGCCCGCAGGGCGACGTGGCGCCGGGCCCGCAGCGGCCCGCAGCCGCGACGAGGCCCACGGGCACCGCGGCGACTCCCGCGGGCGGCGCCGGGGAGGAGCGGCTCTGCCGCTACTGCTTCGAGGGGGGGGAGGCCCAGGGCGGGGAAAGGATGCCGCTAACGCTGCCGCCCTTCCCGCGTCGCCTCGAGCCGGGTACGCCTCGAGGCTCTGGTCATCACAGCGCGCCGCTGGAGGGGTCCGGGAAGCAGGCGGTGTCGGTGCTTTTCTGTGCCCCCGGAGGCGGGCGAGCTCATTTCGCCCTGCCGGTGCACGGGGGGCCAGAAGTGGGTCCACCTCGATTGCCTGCGCCGCTGGCAGCGCACCGTTCTGGTCTCGCAGCCATCGCACCCTGACCTCTACGAGAGCGACACGAGGCAGCGCGTGTGCGGCGTGTGCAAGGCGGAGTTCGCCCTCCCGCCACCGTCGAGGCAGGAGCTCCTCGCGTCGTTCACGGGCCCCGAGCTCGCGGCCCTGATCGAGGAGGGGTGCGTCATTGGCTCCTCGGAGGAGTTCAGCCGCGAGTTGGAGAGCCAGATGTCGGCTTTCCCCGAGGTGGTCCAGGAGACCGCCGCCTGCAGGAACTGGATCCGGGGCGTCTTCTTAATCGTGAAGGTCGTTGAGGATCGTGAGAGGAGCGCGGTGCATCTCGCCATCAACGAGCACGAGGACCTCGCGCGACTCCTCCTGCGGCTGGAGGCGGACTCGCAGACGCTGCACGTCCGCGGGCGCAAGTTCCGGCTGATGCCCCAGGGCCCCCTGCAGGAGCTGTCGGAGGACTCGCCCCCGCACCGCTGGCGCGCGGCCATCTCCGCCCTGCGGGCGCCCACCGCCCTGCGACTGCGCCCAGAGCCTGCGGCGGACTGCGGCGAGGACGGCATCGTGGCCGTCAACCTGACGCGGCCGGTGGACCTCTCGCGGCCGGCGCGGCGCCGAGTGTTCGAGGCGGCGGCCCGGCGGGCGGGCTTCGGGCGGCCGGGGGGCGCGGAGCCGGGCGCCCCGCCCGCGCAGGTGACGCACCTCCTCGGCGGCCCCTGCGAGGACGAGGAGGTCTCCGCCTGCGTCCTGCTCTCCGGAGGGGGCCAGACCGTGGTGCGGGAGCCGGGCGCCCTGTGCGCCGGGCTGGCCATGGCCGAGCGCGCCGCGGCGGCGGAGGGCGCGGCCGGCCCGCCGCCGCAGAAGCGGAGGCGCTCGCAGCAGCTGCCGTGGGGCTGCTGGCGGCGGCGCCCGCGCGGCGCCGCGGCGGCGGCGGAAGGCGCCGCGGCGCGGCGGGCGGCGGGTGAGCCCGTGCGTCTGCTGGTGTTCTGGGGCTACGCTGGGTGGAGCAGGTGCCAGCTGATGGGCGAGATCGCCCGCGGGTCGTGGGGCCTGTGCAGGGCGCCGGACGGCCTCGCCGCGGCGGAGCACTCGGAGGTCTGGGGGGCCGTGTACCGCCGCCTGCTGTTCGCCCCGAGGTCGGAGCTGTCCGATAGCTACGGCGACCGCACGCCCGAGGAGGCCGCGCAGAGGCGGGAGCTGCGGCGGATGGCCATCCTGCAGGAGCTGATCCGCAGGCGCCCCAGCGAGCTGCGCCGCCTGCGGTCGGCGCGGCGGGCGCCCGGCAGCGGCGGCGAGGAGAGCGGGGCCGCGGCGACCGCATCGGAGGGGGAGCGCGGCGAGGAGGCTGGCGAGACGGAGGAGTCCACGGACAGCAGCGAGGAGGGGAGGGCGCCCGCCACATGCACACCCGCGCCGGTCCTGGCCAGGCCCAGCCTGGGATTAAGTCGGGCCTGTCCCCCTACAGGGGGATTTTCGACGAAAATAAAATTATCCCGGCAAAGCAACCTAACATCGATATGTAGAAGCATAGCTGGAGGCATGCAGCAGCAGTAACAGTCACAGTAGTAGTAGCAATAAAAGCAGGAGAGATGAAACAGTGGTAACAGTGAAGTAGTAGTTGTAGTTGGCGGGAGTGAACGAGTGAAGTGTAGTAGTAGTAGTAGTGGGTGTAGTGGTAACAGTGAAGTGAAGTATAGTTGGAGTGGGTGGATGGCAGTAGTAGTAACAGTGAAGTACGGCGGATGTCTTGGATAGTAGAATGGTAGTAGGGGAAGTTAGCCCCCGTAGTAACAGTATCAGTAGAAGTAATAGTAGAATCTATGTCGAAACGAGACACTGCTATCAATGCACGGGATCCTCCTCCTCGTCCTCCTCCTCCTCCTCCTCCTCGTCCTCCTCCTCCTCTTCCTCCTCCTCCTCCTCCTCCTCCTCCTCCTCCTCCTGGTAGTCCTCCCCCTCCCCTCCTCCTCCTCCTCCTCCTCTTCCTGGTCGCCCTCGTTCTCGTCCTCCTCGTCTTGCTCGTCCTCCTCCTCCTGGTGTTCTCTCCTCCTCCTCCTCCTCCTCCTCCTCCTCCTCCTCCTCTCCTGGTGGTCCCGTTCTCCTCCTCCTTGGTCTCCCCCTCCCCTCTCCCCCCCCCTCCTCCTCCTCCTCCTCCTCCTCCTCCTCATCCTCCTCCTCCTCCTCCTCCTCCTTCCTCCTCCCCCTCCCCCCCTCCTCCTCTTCCTGGTCGTCCTCCTCCTCCTGGTCGTCCTCCTCCTCCTGGTCGTCCTCCTCCTCCTGCTCGTCCTCCTCCTCCTCCTGCTCGTCCTTCTTCTCCTGCTCCTCCTGCTCCTCGTCCTGCTCCTGCTCGTCCTCGTCCTCCTGGTCTTGCTCGTCCTCCTCCTCGTCGTGCTCTTGCCCCTGCTGAAAATGTGGCCCAGGAATGAGAGTTCTGGGAAGTCGAAGAGCACGAAGTTGCCTACAGTTGGCTACGGGCATTCAAAATGTGGCCCGGGAATGGAGTTCTGGGAACTCGAAGAGCACGAAGTGGCCTACAGTTGGCTCCGGGCATTCAAAATGTGGCCCGGGAATGGAGTTCTGGGAACTCGAAGAGCACGAAGTGGCCTACAGTTGGCTCCGGGCATTCAAAATGTGGCCCGGGAATGGAGTTCTGGGGACTCGAAGACCACGAAGTGGCCTACAGTTGGCTCCGGGCATTCAAAATGTGGCCCGGGAATGGAGTTCTGGGAAGTCGAAGAGCACGAAGTGGCCTACAGTTGGCTCCGGGCATTCAGAATGTGGCCCGGGAATGGAGTTCTGGGAGGTCGAAGAGCACGAAGTGTGTGACTGTTGGCTTAAAACGACTTCTGCGGCACCCTGTCCGGCACCCGCCCAGACCCCCCTGTGGAGTCATCTGCTGCTCTCTTTTTACCCTATTAGAAACCTATCAGTCTTCGATGTTAGGTAAAATCCCCTCAGAATAGTCAACAAATAGTCCAAACATAGTCTGGGGACTATTTTTTGAGCATTTTTTGACCTTCTCGGGGTATTTTTGGGGTATTTTTGATTTTTCGTCGAACCTCCCCCTGTAGGGGGACACGCCCGACTTCAGCCTGGGATCGGGGTGCGAGTGTGCCTGCCTGGCCGGGGCAGGGGAGCGCATATACCTTGACTCTCTGGCCCCAGCGTGCGCCCGGCCAGGATCGGGGCGGGTCAGCAGTGTGCGCCCGCCCAAGGAGGAGTAGATCGGGGAGCCGCTCCCGACGGGTCCGCGAGCACCGGGGTGGAGCGGCGGCGGGGGTCGTGCTGGTGGCAGTCGGGGGGGGAAGCTGGCGAGAGCTGAACTGGACTATCAGTGGCGGAGCAAGCAAGGCGCCGAGTGAGAGTGATGGTCGGCCCTTCTCTTCTCCCTCCGCTCTCCTGACTATTCTCCCCTTCCTCTTTATTGAATAGGATGGTCTGCCGCCGTCTAGTTTCAGCGCTGGCGCGTACCTGTATAACGTACGGGGAAGTTTAACATGGCAATCAACATCTGATTGCCGCCATGCTGTCGTCTTACGTACAGCTTCCACCCCCCGCAATTATAGTTAATACCGGAGCTGGGATCGATCCCAGCTCGCGATCCACGAAACGTACGCATAGTGCGGTGTGGACGCAAATTCGCACTTACATTCGCATCCGCATGAGTACCACCCTCCATCCTTGAATTGCCTGTATTTATAGCTGTTCTGCAACCCAAGTCGCAATTCGCCCCGGATTTTTGGTGCGGCTGCGGGGCATCAGCAGAAAACTCAACCGCGATGAGGAACGACTCGCACACAGGAGCGCCACGACGTTCCTCGACCCATCGCAGCCCCACAGGCACTGGCCGGACGTTCGCGTCGGGCATGAGTGCGAGGCGCCCCCCTGGGCCAGCGCCGTGCCTCGGTACGTGTGCGATAGTGCTGGTTGTCTTTGTTAGCACATCGCGCCACTGGAGGCTACCGCGTCAGTTTCGCTGACTTCGGCGTCGGCCAAGGTTGACGGCATCATCGTGGCTGCCCCGTGCTTCGACATGGCGTTCGTCCCTGCGCAGGTCCGAGTCCCAAGGCGCTTCCGCAGCCATCATCGTGGTGAGGTCTTATCAGGGAAGATATCCATCTTGACGCTCTGGGGCAGCATCCTCGTGTTTTTCATGGCCGTCCTGTTCTGGCTCGCCGGAGCGATGCCTGGTGGAGCTGGCCCACATTGCGGCGGCGGTCGCGGGGCGATCATTTCCCGCCAATCCCTTCCGCCACTGGGTACAGGACTGGCTCGCTTGGAGGGTGCTAGCCACCGACATGGACAGCGCCCAACAATGCGGTGTTGTCATCCTCGACGTCGGTCGGGCCGCTCGCGAGCTAACGCGTTCCATGATCTGCACGGAAATACGGAGGGAGGCATGGTCAACGGCCAGCAAGAGGACGCTGGGACCTATCTCATCGCGAACCTCGCCGCACAGTTCGGTCCACTAGGCGAGGAGTCGCGCCTCCAGGCTACCCGCGAACTCCTTCGAGTTCTCGAGGCGCCGCAACACAAAGCCACCCCGCGCGCTGCTTTCGCGGTCTCTCACGCTGCGACTATGAGTTACGCACGACAGTGGGGTTGCGATGTCTTGGGATGGCTACAGCTGGCTGCTTCTCCGAGCGGTCGGCGTCGCTGCTAGGTCAATTCATGACGCTGCGCTTGTCCCACGACAACCGATGCCCAGCTCCTGAGGCCGAGTTCAACAGTCTCACGACTACTCTAAGGCGCGTTGACCATATCGTGGAGCACGCGCCGAATAACCTTGCCAGCGCTCTTCTTGCGCCGCCATCGTTCGGAGGTTTCGTGGGCATGGCCAGTGACAACAGCAATGACGCACCTGCCGCGGGCCCATGGCGCAGTCAGGGCCTCGACCCCGGGGCTGCCAGCGCCGCCGAGATTCCCGGTGCCGGAGGTGTTGCGACGCGCGCTACAGGCCCGTCGCAGAGCGCCGCGCCGCCGCTGGCAGCCTCTCCTGCCGCCGCGTGGGCGCCCGCGAACGGGGCCGACTGCGTCGGCGGGGCCTCCTCAGATGCCAGCTCGGATCCAGGCGGAGAGGTCGACTGCCGAGCGCCGGAGCTCCAAGGTCTCAGCCCCTCTCAGATGGATGCCCAGTTGTCCTAGCAGATGAAGACTGCTGAAGGTCTGGCGCAGGCGCCCGCGACGTCCTACTCGCGAGAACGACAGAACCTTCCTCAGGACATGCACGGGCACAGGGGCCCAGAAGTCTCGTGGAGCTCTCAGGCGCTCGAGTAGGTCAGGCCTCCTTCGGTGGACTCGACAGGGCAATGGTGGGCTCTCGTCGGGCAGGGGGGGGGGAGAAAGACAGGCTCCGCAATCATTCAGGCTGCGACGGGGTCACCGTGACGTGCAGCATCTGGGGGTGCGAGTGCCGGGCACTTGCGGGGCGCCGCGTCGCCACCGCGGAGCAGCGGCGGCGGCGGCGGCCAGTTCGGGGCCCGCGCAGACTCCAGACCACAGACGGCGCCCTGGACCCCCGCCCCCTTGCCGGGATCTGGGGTTGCCTTCGCGGTCGCTGAGGGTTTTCCTCAGCGCGGCCAGGTCGCGGCGCCGCGCCGGCGCAGCCGTCCGTCGACGGCTCCTGGCAGCTGCCTGGATCTGCCCGCGGTTCGCGGTCAACAGCTCGCTCGCCGCGGCCCAGGGTCACGCGTGCGCTGGTGCGCCAGTTGTCCTGCCACCACCTCGCGTGTTAAACGTAGCTGCGCCAACTTCAGGACCGTCGTTAATTGCCCGTGCTGCCGCCATTCCCCGGCGTGGCCGCCGCCGCCGCGGAGCCGGCGGCGGCGGCCGCCGACGGGGCTGGTCGTTCCGCCAGCGCGCCGCGGAGGACTGCAGCTCTGTGGGGCCCTGGCGAGATGGGCGCCACCGACCAGCACTGCAGCGCCGGCGCCGCTGCCCTGCCGATGGGCCAGGTCGCGACCCCCGACGACCAGCGGATCGCCATTCGCGTCAGTTGCATCGGCCTACTCGCACGTCTACGGCAGGTTCGGCAAGCGCGAGCTGCCCTGTCAGACAGGCAGCGCCGCGGATGTAAGCGCCTCGCAGAGATGCCGACCGTGGCTATCAGGACCAACGTCGTGCATGAATGGTTTCAGAGATATCCTTCCTGCTGTCCTCCGTGGCAGACTGGAGGCCAGCCGTCGCGTCAGCTGGAACAGCCAGCGACGTGCCCGCCGACCTGAGCGTGCCCGACAGATGATCGACGTGGCGAGGGCTCGACCTCCAGACGTGACACCGCCGCCAATGCCATCGGATCTACGCGCGGAGTCAGAACTCACAGGAGTGGAAGTTGACGCCGATGAGATGTGCGGCATCTGCGCAGCCCGATGCGTCAATCTGGACCTCGCCGCCACCCCTCAATGTGGCCGCCGTCTCCATCGGAGCTGCGCCGACGCCCGGGCCGCCGCCAGCTGCGACGGCGCCCGGGTGCGAGCCGTAGAAGAAGCACTGCGCGGCGACCAGGCCCGAGTACCAGTCCCCCAGTGCCCGCGACATGTAGCAATTCTCGGTGGCGCGCGAGGTCGCGCGCATCCAGGTGGCAATCGCGCCCCGTGAATCGCCCGAGGAGCGCCTGCCGTCTGTCGCTGACGGAGCCCCGATCACGTCGCGAGACGCACTAATCGTCGAGATCATATGCAGCTCTCCTGCATTTACCCGCGGACAGCAGTCGCCCCAGGGCTCGCCGCCGAGCGGTGTGGCCGTGGTGCTTCCATGGTGGCCAGCCACCAGCTCGGCAAACGAGTAGCCGCGCAGGTGTATCGCAGTCGCGCCCAGCTCCCCTCAGGCGAGCTCAGCGTCGTCGTGGGCCCGCCAGGTGCATGGGCCAACCTCGCAGGTGAGAAGCTTGCGCGCCAGTTCGGCCGCCGAGCCGTAGAGGCAGGGCGCCCTCCGCAGCACCTCCTCATGGGCGAGCCTTTGCGCACCCAGGGAATTGGCAACGGGGCCCAAGGGGGCGCCCATCAGGTGAGCGCCCCCACTACCGTCGCGGATGAACAGGGCAAAACAATCATCCACAGCTTCGCAGCATCAATTGTCAGAGGATCGGGCATTGATCTGCCCGCCTGCTCGGTCAACGTAGCATGGGTTCCATGCGCGCGATCCTGTGTGCGGGCTACCGCGAGCTGATCTTGCCTGGCGGCGGCGACGTCCAGATTCAATGGCCCGCAGGCGCGGCGCGCGTGCCGCTGCGGAAGGCTCCGGGCGGACGCGTGGTGATGCTCATTGACGGCTTCGACGGGGCCGTGCAAGCCGCGGGCGGCGCTCCCGACCGCGGCGTTCATCTGCGCGCCAGCGCCGACGAAGCGGGGACGGAGACGGAGGGCGCGACGCGGGCAGCTGTGCCCTCTCCAGCCAGGAGGGTGGTCTGCGGTCGACCTTCGGCTCTCAATGAGTTGAGGCCCCTCCGGGGGGCGCCCGAGCTCGCCTTGCCAGGGGGCCAACGTCGTGCCCCAACCGCGCTCAAGCGATGGAGCTCGCGCCCGCGTTTGCCTGAGCTCTCGGGCAGCGCGGATGGCAGATGCGAGCAATCCGCCCCGCCAACGTCGCGTCTCCCCTGTTCTCCGTTCGCCTCAGTGGTGTCGCCCAACGAGATTGCCAGTTGGTTTGGATTTCGATGCCGCCTAGCCGTATTTATCAAGGAAATATGTACAATCGTGACCGAGATCTGTTCAGAACTGGTCACGAGCCCAGCAGGTCGTATGAGACTGATCATCGCCAGGCTCTGCCGACTTGGACTTGCGCCAGAATCTGGCAGCGAGTCGCCCGCCGAGACGGCGTTCCACATCGTCGCGACGATGGGGCCGGGGGCCAGCTTGCTGCGCGCATGCCCCTGGGACTCGGCGGGCCCGGCGTCCTGGCAGTGGGCCGCGGAGTATTTTCTCGAGAAGGGCCCCCTGAGTGGGCAAAGTACATCCAGGCGCAAGTATCGGCGCGCATCCACGTAGGACTGGTCAGGCACATTGGTTTGGCCCGAGCAGTGTCCTCTGCTGAGTCAAAGATTGTAGGGCCCACGAACGCACCGGATGCTCTGCTTGGCGTGGGGGCCTCGGCAGCGGCGTCGAGCACCCGGCGCACTTAGCCCGGGCCGTTCGCGAGTCCGACAATCCCGACCCACGTGGGATACAACGAGAGAGGATGCCCAATTATAAGATACATCAGAATAGCAAGACTCACGAGACGAAGGAGGCCACTAGAGCACGTGCAGTTGAATTTGTCTTTGATGGCCCAGATGAGATTACCTGCCAAGCTGTGCGCGCCCACTACGACATCGACACCGCTACGGCGGCATATTCTTGGCTCTCTGCTGTCAGCAGGAGCACCATGACACGTGTCCACGCGTTGCTCTGGAAGCTCCTTGTTCTACCGGCCAATACTCTTGCCTGGTCTCTCTTGCCTCGCTGGCAGATGACCGGGCGACCTACATCAATCCTCAACGCGAGATAGGCATTCTTGTCGTCAACGCATCGAGCTGCGCGCGTGCGCACATGAGGCCTTGCCATGCGATGAATGTGCCGGCAGAGCCACTTTCTTCGTTAAGGAGGTGCCTTCGTTCTTCGCCTATCGCACTGAGGAGGCAGAGCGGGCGCGGGCGCGCAAGGAACAAGGCAGCGTGCCAGTCAAGCGCCGCAAGACGGTTCAATATGTTCGGCGA